CGTGGTGCATCGTTAGTTACACGCGTCGCACGCGCTGGCGTCTGCAGTAGTAATTGTTCTAAAGCAAAAAGTCTAAAACAAATTTTGCCTTACACGCGCATTCGTCAAAGCCTTATTATGATTATTTACTTCGAATCTTTTATAAGAGAAAGGCCAGCGCGCGTGGACCTAAAATTACACTTCCAGCGTTCTCCTCGATGCTGGGGTAATTTAGAAAAAAGGTCTATTGGGACCCTGCCTGCTTTAAAAAAGTGAAAGCCGTTTACAACTCCCTGTAACGCCGAATTGGAGCGCAGCTCTTGATGAGGAGGAGGGAAGGGTACTGAGAAAAGGGTAGACCCCTCCTCCTCCTCCTCCCTTCTCCTCCTCCTCCCCTCATTCTTGAATACGCTCCGGGGGGTCACCTCACCTCGGGGGGAGGGGGTCACGTGACCTCGGGGGGAGAGGGGGGTCACGTGACTTCAGGGGGAGGGGAGTCACATGACCGCGGGGAAGGGGGTCACGTGACCTCAGGGGGTCACATGACTTGGGGATCACGTGACCATGGGCGTCACGTGACCCTGGGGGAGAAGTCACGTGACCTTGCTGGTCATGTGACCTTGGGGGTGTCAAGTGACCTAGCGGTTACGCCGTGTTGGGACCGCGGGGTTGGTCGGGGACTTTGGGTCCGGCAGGTAACCGAGCCAGGGCAGGAACTCATGTGGCTGCCGGACTCGCGAAGTTCCGGGGAGCAGGAGGAGTGTCTCTCATATAATATAACTCTTTATATATACACATGAACAGGTTACATCAACTCAAGAACACTTGAGAACCCTGTCAAAAACACTAGAGAACACCAGACAAAACGAGCTAGCAGCCGACTGCTGCTGCTTTTATAACCTTAGTTGTCCCCACATCCCTAGTAGGAAATTCCTATCGTTCATTGTTCGTAATGTCCAGGCACGCCATTTCCCTCTCCCTCGCACTCAGCCACACAGAGCACACAGACGTAAGGGCCAGACATCCTTGGCCGCGGTGTCACCGGTCAATGTCGTCGGACAATGGTGCCATCGAAGTCGAGGAAGGCGGAAGACATCCATAATTGCAGGCGTCCTGGCTTCCGTGTGTTAGGGGATAATCCCACGGGCGATCTAAGCTGGGGAAATTGAGTAAAGTCCCCTCCTTTGTCGAGGACGTCCCAAGGCTGTCGGGTCACCATGCGTCGAGGTCAGGCCGAAGAAGCAAGGAGAGCGACCGGACGGCAAAGTCGGCCAGATGCCACTGGCGTGGGTCAACCCGATGATCCTTCGGAGAAGGTCGCGTCGTCCCCGCAAATCAAGGTGCGTTGGCGACTCCAGGGCGCCTCTCGCTCTGTCTCCGGGCGCAGCTGACCTTAGCCACCTGGCGACGATGCTCCAGGGCGTTCACCCGTGCCGGTCAGTATGGAACGGCAAGGTCGTCTCCCGGGGCCTTTCGCAACAGCTCCTCCGCCGCCAGGAAGAGTGTCTTGAGGGGGAGCAGTCCACACTGGTCCCTTGAAAGACCCGGTCTCCCGGCTGTGCTGGCGACTGAGGTCCAGGCTGGAGTTCACACTGGGAAGTGGCAGCAACAAAACCCACAACACCGAACCAAACTCCGCGCAGGAGAGCGCCCAGCACCCAATCTCTCCAATCCGCCGGACCAAAACGAACAACAACAAAAAATGCCTCGCGAAAGTTCCGTGCTATTCTATCAAAGCAGAAAAACACGCACACGCACAAGGACACTTGTTTCCTCCGACAGGTTGCTTTAGCGAAAGAAACTTTTGCAGACTAATAAAAGCTCTCTTACGCTCAACCCAAAATAAAACGGACTCCCGTGAAAAACAAAAAAAAAAACATTACGAATCCCTATGTAACTCATATATGGCATATCCCTATTAATTTCGAGCATCCTTTATAAAGCCAACTATACCGCGTATAAAACCGCTTTAAATCAACTTTACCGTCAACGCAACGAGCTAAAGCCGAACGAAACGCAAAACTTGGACTCCCGGAAAAAGAAAAGCTAATAACCTTGCCGAATAACCTAGTCGACTCAATTACACAAAAAAAAAAAAAAAAAACACGTTTAGCCCTCCCTTTTTCCTCGAAAGTCCTTCTTCGCATCTAACCCACGCCCTGTTTGTTCTTGGCCTCACTCGGACTGTTCAAGTTCTTCTCCTTGGACATGCGTGCAGGCACGACGTTGCCGTCCCGGAGATCTTCCTTGGTTTCCCCGCCCGACGTGATGCCTGGCTGAACGGGCGATGAACTGTGGCTCTGTCTCCAACCTTGTTGAGTCGGTCCAGGTTCGTTGTTGACTTCTCCAGGCTCCTTGCTCGTACTTGAGCTGTGGGTCCGCGGCTCGTTGGGATGGGAGTCCTGGAGTTTTCCCCCTCCCAGCCTCGAGAACTGCTTCCTCTTTTTCAAGTGGCGCTCGTCGGGCTTGCCTTGACGCTCTCCGCAGGAAGCGTTGCTGCCAGAACGTACAACGCTGATCCGGCGCTGCCTTTTCCTCTTTGGTTTCAGTCGCTTGCTTGTGACGGTATCCGAGTTCTCGGTCTCAGATCCCTCATACCGCGAGCACGACGACGTCCTCAGGTGCACTTGCGTCGGGTCCGCTTTGTCCAGCCCGGGCTCCATCGTGTCCCCGGTGGATCCCTCGCTTGCGCAGCCGCCTCCGGTTGCAGGTCCCCTGGGATGGCCGGCTTGGGGTCTCCCGTCCTCAAACCTCAACGACTCGCTGCGGGACGCGTACTCATCGACGTCCTCCTTGCACCTCGACTCCGTGAACGGTCTGGAGTCGGTGTTCCGCAACCGCACCAGGCAGGTGTGGTTGATCTCGTCGAAGGAAATCTCAACCACCTCCCTCCTGGTGGGCCGCTTGGACTCCTGTGACGGCGCCGTGGGCTTGGTTCCAAAGCCGCACGGGCGCCGATCCGACCGGTCAGGATCCGGACTTGATTGCTGGGCCGCTCTCCCCGGCATCTTGGCGCTGTTCTTCATGAGCTGGCTCGATCTCCCCGGCGTCGTCTCCACCTTGGCGTCGCCTTCGTCCTCCGGGCAGTCGCCACTGGACGCCTGAAGAGCCTTCTCTTCTTTCTCCCGCAGCTCGGGCGTTGGGTAGGTCTTGCACGGAACGGCGTCGGTCTTGCGTACAATAGTGTCGGTCGCGTCGGAAGAAACCCGCTGGTTTCCGGTCACCTCGGTGTCCCCAGCTTCAGTTTTCTTCTTTTCCTGACACACCAATTCTGTCGCTGCCTCCACGTCACTTTCGCCGCTCCGCCGCTCGGGGTGTGGGCCGGTCTTGCGAAGAACGGTGACGGCCGTGTCGGGAGAAAGACGCTGGTCTCCGGTCATCTCAGTGTCCTCAGCTCCCACTTTCTCCTTTTCCTGACACGCCTTCCCTGTCACCGCTTCAACGCCTGTTGTCGCCCGACAAAGGGACTCAACCTCCCGCGCTTTCTTCGCGAGCTCGAGCTGCTCGAACTCGCAGCTGACCTTATCCACCTGGCGACGATGCTCCAGGGCGTTCACCCGTGCCGGTCGGTATGGAACGGCAAGGTCGTCTCCCGGGGCCTTTCGCAACAGCCGACAGCAACGGCGACGCCGACGGCGACGCCGACGCCGCTCCATCCGGTGTCCCCAGCTCCGCTGCGACGCCGACGCCGCTCCATCCGGAAACGGGCGCCTAAGAGCTGCGCTCTAAAAATGCGGCGAGGTCGTTGCTCATGCTTTGCGATTTAAGTGAGGTAAGGCAAAGTGAACGCCTCTTGCACCATTCGTTGTTGACTAACGCGCCCGATATTGCAGCTACAACGACATATTAGTTCCAAAGCGATCGGCGCTCCCTGACCTAGGCACCGCCATGCTTCCCCGCATCCCTACCGAGCCAGTCACGTGATTTCAAAATTCCTCTCTTAGGTACTGCGGCTAACTTTAGCCGCGGTTAGCGCTTCGTGCATGCGGGCCCTTGAACTTTCTAAAATGTACACAGAATATTCACTGGACGCCTTATTAGAGTGCACTGATCACTGAGCATGCTCAGAACGAGTTCACACGTTTCGATAAGCCGCAATATTGATAGTGTGAAATGCACGTTGCAAAAGCGTTGCGGAAGCTCGCCGTCAGCATGCGCGGAGCAGCTACGCACTCAGCTATCAACACATGCGAATACTTTCTATATAAACGTGCCCTGCGACATTTTTGTGAAAAGAAAAATAATATAGGGTTGTAAGAAATAGGGGGAGCGCGGGTAACGTACGCCGGCCTGCACCCAAGTGGAAGAGAGCGCCGACCTCCGCCAGTTTCAGAGACAATTTAGACGAGCAAGCAGCTGGCAGATTTCAGCTCAGCATAAGCGCTTCCTTTCGTGACTTTGAAGAATCAGCGTTGGCTACCCTAACAAACAAACTGCATCCTGTACGTGCAAGCGTTTCTCCCAGCACTTGATAAAAAGCGGTCTAGTACAAAAAAAAAAAGAAACTTTTTACGAAAGTTGCATTGATAAAGGAATAGAAGCGTTGACTCCAGCGCGGCACAACACTTTTTACCATTTGCCTTTAAGTGCGTGCGATTTCGTTGTATCCTCATGAAACCGCTTACACGAGCGAATACACTGGCACGCCCACCGATGCCATCTACCAGATAGCAGTAGAATACTTACAACATGCGTACATGCCGAACGGTGAAGAAGCACAAATAACGAAAATAATCCTTGGAGACAACGAAAATAATCCCTGTACAAAGGGGACGAAGGACGAACACAAATCTAAACACAGCCAGGTTACTGGTGCGTTTGGAATCCACTTTTTTCCGGAGCTGTGGAGCCACCTGGCGATATTTCGGCGAACTAGTAGAAACCTGGTTTGAGGGTAAGAACGGATTATCGCGGTAGGAAAGCACGACCGCCATTAGGCTTGATTTCTTCCGCGTTTTCAGGTGCTTTGTGCCTACACGTGAGCTCCTAGCCTATCCGCTTCTCTTCGGGGACCACGAACGATGGCCGAGGACGAGCGCATTCCGTTCTCGTTTCAACCAGACCGCTGGACCGAGAAGCCTCCGCAGTTCACGAGCCTGTCGCAAGACGAAGTCTGGCGGTATTTGCGCCGAGAGACCGACTCGTTTCGGCAGGTCAACCGAGGATGGGCCTTTAAGGAAGAAGGTTACGTCCGTAACGTGAGATGGAACGCTTCGGACGACTCCCAAATATGCCTGGTCCGGGCTATCTGCCTTCCGTCCATGAAGAAGGCGCCGTACACCGTCTCGGCGTGGTTTGCCAGTGGCACCGGGCGCATCATGGGCGGCAGTTGCAGCTGTGTTGCTGGGTGAGTGATGCTTAGCTTACAGATGACATAGCATGTAATACTAAAACAAAGTATTATATAATGACTAATTATCGCGGTGCGTTCGCACTCGCTTGTCAGACAGTCAAGCAGGGTGATGCACGCCGGTGCGAAGCTCATCCAGATCGAACCGGGCTGGTTTGGGGGTTCACTCTGCTCGACGCGCGACAAAAACGTTTACAAAACGCCCTTATGTTCCCTCATTTCCCCGAAGTGCGTGCGCCTTAGTTCAGATAGAGTGAAGAATTAATGCACGTGCGTTTATATCAAACACGCGTAGTCTATGTGCGATGAAAACCGCCATGCTCGCTTTGGGACAGTAGAATCTGACGAGTTTATTTCTGTACTCATTGTTAGTAGTTATGGAGCTGCTCGTTTAATGTTGCCCTTTTATATTTTACAGGCTCAGCGAGACCTGCCATCACATTGCAGCACTCCTGCTGACTGCAGAAGAGAGCTGCAATGCAGGCGGCACTTCCTGCACTGACATACCCTGCATTTGGGCGGTGCCTCCTCAAGGTGTGTACATTGGAGATTACTTCGAGATACGCTTGAGCAACATCAAGCGTTAAATTTCTGGCTGTCGATGGAGGGTCAGGCTCACTTCTGTCACTTTTTAAATATGTAGACTCGACCATCCACTCCCTCTTGGGCTCTATAATTACAGCGATGGGTCAATCGCTCGAGGTCGCTTACACCTTCCAAATTAACAAATACCCTCTACATAAAGCAGTTTGAGCGATTATGCACCATCCGCATGACTATGAAATGTGGAACTCAGATGTCGCACAACATTAGAACTGGGCAGCACTGACAGGTGAACCTTTCTCGTTGCAGCCAAGAAGCCTGCTCCTCCGCAGCCGCTTGCAGACATCACATTCTGCAAGTATTTGGTCAACCGGCCAGTGAGGGAGAAGAAGAGACGCTCCTACAACCCCTGCGAGGCTGTTGGCGGTGCATCGTCGGAGCAGATCCAGGCTCTGCGGGATGGCCTCCGCATTCGCACACCAGGTCTCTTATGGCTCGAGTTCAGTGGTGCCGAGGAAGCCCGACCAGCGAGGCCACCACTGCCAATAGCCGACGATGAGGACCTGTGGAGCAGGAACGCCCGGGACTCTGTCTACAAGCACGCAGAGTCCCTACCTCCACTGACCGACGAAGAGCGGGCAGAGGTCACGCGGTCCACCATCGGCCAAGCCGACAACCCCAGGTGGCATGAGGAACGGCGAGGGAGAATCACAGCATCAGTGTTTTCCAAAGTCATCAAGTGCGTGAAGCCAGAATATCTGGTGAAGGGAATTTTGTATCCCAGCCCAGACTCTGCAAGTGAGGCCATGCGCTACGGGAGGATGCACGAGGGCGACGCCGTTGCTGCCTACGAGCAACTCATGGGTGCGCAGGTCGACTGTTTGGAGGTGCACGAGACAGGGCTCCACATCCATCCTGTGTACAGCTTTGTGGCTGCCTCACCGGACCGCATCGTTACCAAGGATGGCGAAGAGGGCCTTTTGGAGGTGAAGTGCCCGTCATCTAAGGTGGGGCTAACACCTCTGGAGGCGTGCAAGCAGGACAAGAAGTTTTGCTGCGAGGAAGTTGGTGGAGAGATCCGCCTAAAGAAACGTCATGCCTACTACTACCAGGTTCAGGGTCAGATGGCTGTGACTGGACACAAGTGGTGCGACTTCGTTGTCTGGACCAACAACAAGACGGTCGCCCGCTCTACGCACACAGAGACCATCTTTTTCGACGAGAAGTTTGTCGAGGGTGAGCTCCTGCCAGGACTGCTGTACTTCGCTGAGGATGCGGCCAGTCAGGACTTCGCGGAAGTCCTGACTGGCCGCATCAGGCGACGAAGAGACCTAATCGCACTCGGCCAGTATGTCTCCTACAAGAAGTACTGCGCCGGCTTCTATGTGGTGGAGGATGGGCCTGGCCTCAAGAAGAAGCTGCGGAAGCTACAGTGAGGGACGTCTGCACCACGCTGTGGGCTTCCCGAATCAAAACGGCTCTTTTAAGAGCCACACATTTACTCACCTCGTATGGCATCATCTGTGCAGCAACTCCCGTGTCTCACCATGATACATGTATAGAAACATGACACACTTCAACAAATGTCGAATATAAAGTGAAATGCCAGGTGTGCTGCTTAGGCTCACAAATTTTATTGCAAATCTAGAAACTAAATTGTGGATGATCATGATTTAGTAAGAGTAGTTCTTTAGACTTGCACGATTCTAAAGGGGTCATGAATCAATTTTAATGTAAAAAGGATCTGCAGCTTCTATCTTTTATTTTGTCCACCTTAGTAACAGATTTAACACGCCCTCTTCCCTCGAAATGTCGCAAGTGCGCTGCGTAATCGCAAAGGGAAATATGGACTATTTGCTGACCTGCAGCCGCATACGGTGGCCACGGGTACCACGATGTGATGTTGCGGTGGGTGACAGTCACGTAGGCACAGTGTACCGAGTTAGGAAGCTGACCAAGTATCTGCTCAATTTAAAGGACAACTCTGCTTCACTTCAGGCATATTGGGATTATGACTGATTCCAACTTGGAAAGTACTACGAAACGACATCATATAATTTGTTTCGAGAAATGTCAAATACTTTTTGCGCAATCTGGTTTTAAATATGAATCGAGACCGACCCCAAAGCTTTGATACGGAAGAGGTCTACATTGTTTTCTCAAAAACAAAACTGAAGCGGAGTTGCCCTTACGAGGAATATTTATAAATGTTGTTGCTAAATGTAAAGAAATGGCGTCAGAAGTCTCGTATTATTGGCAAGCTTTTATTACACAACGTTTTAGAGGCGCCATCTACCTAAAGTACACAAAAGCGTCCCCTTCTTGCTGTTTAGCGTGGGAAGAGGGTTCGCTTTGCCAACTGGCTGCAGTGTTTCACTGCGACCAAAAAACTGAAAAGTTAAGAATGCTAATCCAAGGCAAGAGAGCTTGCTGTCGCTGGAGCAGAATGCTCACTGGGGGTGCCAAAGATAGAAAAAATCCGGAAGTCTGTGTCCCAGCAGTGCATCACTACGCATGTGACCCGGAAACTGGTGAAAGAGTTGAGGGGCACCACACACTCCAATCCTTTTCATTTTTCAAAATAAGAAGTAGCGCTCCTAGGCTAAAATGTCTTTTGGATCTTGATTACACTAGTGACAGTAACTGCCACAGTTATTTGTCCGAAGTCCGAAAATAGTTTCATGACCTCTTTAAATGTTGCAAATGTAACCACCTATCGGGTTTATTAGGCAGGCTTTCAAATATGTGTTAACATTTATTACAACTATCTATGTTTTAGCAACTTAAATGCACCCATACAAGACCTGCATAGACAAAGCCACGAGTTTCACAAACTTCTCTGCAGCTCATAGCTGAAGGAGCACAAACTTCGAAATAACCATAACTACCATGACCGATGCGATCCATATCTGGCTAGTGTTGTACAGAAAATTATTGTGGTTTATTAACAATGCTTTAAACAGGCCCACATACTTCCCATGCTGCAGAAAAAAAGACTCGTATAGACCTCTCATCAAAACAGAATACTACTGGCAAAAGCATGCTTCATAAATTCACTGAAGGTTGCAATCGCCCAGAATGCATAATGAACAAGAGACAAACTGAGCTGACCATACCACAAAGGCATGACCGCTCAGTCCTCATTCCCAGAGAGGGAACCAGGATGGAACGGCTGTGACAACGGTCATTCAATACACACGGAGATATGCATCCTTAAACAATAGACAGTGAGACCAGAGACCATCCTAGAGAAATGCTGCTGCAACAATCCAAATTAGAAAGATGTATAACCACAAAAACGCTAGAGACGATGAGACAAGAGGCCACCCAAGAGATGTTGCTACACTCTCCCTCTCCGAACCATAGAAAAGAAGTTTTGCTCCTTGCACAGCATTACCAACCTCCCATTGTGGTAAATACGGTGGTCTTAATTTAACATCAGTTATTTGTTATTTCATTCAAAACATGCATGTCTCAAACATGAAAGGCATCGTAGCTTTACATGACTACCAAATCCAGTACGGACTACCTCGCGCAGCGCATAAATGACATGCGAAAGAAGCTTGTTTATCTGACAAGCCTAACGAAGACTTAAAGGGATACTTCAACGAAATTTGAAATATTCCCGTCCTGTTAAAAAATAGGTTGAATATGATCCATAATATCCGTAAATGACAATGGCACGTTTGTATTTTGAGCCTGGTGGCTGTATTTTTTTGTTATAAACGGCCTACTCTGGCAAACACTCGGAGAAGGCCCAGCGGAGACCACGTGACATCCAACGCAATCGTGACGTAGGTCGTCTCGGGACGAGCAAAGCTACGGTGAGACTGACGTCGAGAGGATGGCCTAGTCGTTCCAGCCACCGAAGCGGCTGCTTTTGTACGAATTTTGAGTGACGGGTTAATCTTCTGTAATCTTGTAGGGGGACAATAGCGACTTCTGCGACACACAAAAGGCGTTCTCGGGAAGAGGGGAGTTCCTCCTTCCACTCTTCTTTCGTCGTGGGCAGAGGCGAGACAGCCTCCGTCACTAGCTGTCAAGGTTCCTAGACGAGCATTACATTTGAGGCATTAGAGACATCCACCAGGTGCTCTTTGCTAATCGTTTAATTCGTTTTAAAATTCCTTTTCGTGTCTTTTTTTAACAAGATATATGGATGTTCGATGTGATACTGCTCCTTTGAACACATATAGACCAAAAAATGAGCGCCAAAATTTCATTGTAGTATCCCTTTAACAGCCTTAGAGTGGGACAGTTTCGTACAACACTTTTAGTTCAACACCTAGCCAAAATTCTTGCTGGTACCCTTCCAGGGTGTCTACTTTTCTGGAAAACCTCAAATTGTCAGCGAATTGTGGTCATCTGCAGAAGTCAGGGAATTATCAGGGAAACTCAAAAAGATGGATAAATAAGGGAAAATGACCCGTGAAAGTGGCACAGCGTTGTGCAACGAAGGCCGACGGTTTGTGCATCCATTGCCCGAAGCATCACTAGCAAGCGCAAGCCACCATCTTCCGTCGAAGGAGCGCTCCTTCAACTGAAGTAATGGTCAAGGAATTTCATCGAAATGGTTAGGGAAGAACGTGGAAAACCAGGGAATTTAAAAAGTAATTTCGTAGACACCCTGCCTTCGCCATGTGCTTTTCCATATGCATTTACATAAAAGTGTCGTGGGGCACGTTCACTGCACTGTTTGCGCTATTCGCACAAGCGTTTTCTGCCTGGCCGCAAGTTGCAAGCATGCGCTGGCTGGATTGTAGTTGAGCACTGTGGACTGTGAGTTTTGTAAACAGTGGAAACGTCTGTAGGTGGAGACAGTTCTTTATGCTCACTAAAGCTCTGTGCATTTCTGCAGGCATGCTTCAACTGGTCAGGAAAGCAAAATAAGTCTTGCTATAGACCTTTGCAGAAAGAGGGCTCTGGCCGCCGCCATTTTGCGAATCGAGCGACCCCTATCAACCAGAAGTTTCTGGCACCCGCCTGAGCTGTGGAAGCCCGGTCAGCGTGACTCCCTGCATTTTGCATTCGGAGTTCGCCGGCTTTTCTTGGAAGTTATTACTTTATTCGCCTGTTTAGGATGCTTACCTTTTGTATGTCATCTTCCACCGTGACAACTAGAGAATACCAGGGCTCGTAGCCTGCTCGGCCTTCGCAGGAAACGAACGAAAAGAGCGAACGTCAAGCAGCCCGTAACGCAGGCAGTTCGACGTTCTTGGAGGATTATTTCCGTCGAGATAATCTCCAAAAAGCCTTCCCGGCTGTGTTCCGGGTCTTCGCGAAAAATAGCTGATAGGGTCGGGTCCGGGGTGTGGGGACAGAAGAGACACATTCGTTCATTTGCTTTGAAGCTGTGAAAAAAAGGAGCTGTCTTCTACGTGTTCTCCAAAACACGCCGGATTCCGTTCGATCGTCGTGAAGTGACTGTCGTCGACACTATATTGGATGTGCTGTGTTATTGGAGACCTTTCTCAGATCCTGTTCGGATAACGCGGCACCGTGGGGTACGTACAATATGTGTTGTTCGATTGATGAGACTCGTTGAATTTCATGTTGTGGGCGGGAAATATCCATGCAGTTCGGATATCCTGTGTGGTCAAATATTCTGACCTTTATAGATTGACACGGCTGAATGTACGGTGCCGTAAAACGATGATCATAAAGTGAAACAAACATTCCAGTTGCATTTGTTCTGTCGCACACGGACTCACCAAAACAGCTTTCATTTCTTTGTATTTGTTCCCAAAAATAGAGCACTGCTTTCTTAAAGACCTCTATAAAGTATGTTCGCCACAGAACACAAAATAAAAAAAAAACGCGGCAATTCAGCCGCCACCAGCGTCCGGAATTGCGCCTACGCAGGCTGCCACAGCCCACTGACTAGAAAACCCACAGCTCAGCGCAGTCGGGCAACACTGACGTACCCTCTCAAAACCAGGGATGCGCGCTGTAAATTGCTTCGTTCGAGACTGCCGCTGGAAAGGTCTATACTCCGCGACAACTTTTCTTGGCAATGCAATGGAAGGTACGTCCCGCGTCCCCTCTCCCATTTTGAGTGTACGCAGGCTCTCCTCCTCTCCCTGGAAATGGGAGAGGAGGAGAGCCTCCGTACACTCAAAATGGGAGAGGGGACGCGGGACGTACCTTCCACTGCATTGCCAAGAAAAGTTGTCGCGGAGTATAGCGACATAGGGTTGCGGTCAGCAGGAAGGGTTAGGGGCACTGAATAAAGTAAAATAGAACGACGAGTTCGAATAGAGAATGAGAGGCCCACACTATGTCGGAGGCTTATTATAGAGAAGACGTCCTGCAATGGAGATTTCGGTTGCATGTCAAAAGATCTCCAGGTCGTCGACCCCCAAACTGACCATTCTTTTCATTGCTGTACAGAGGTATTCCGAACCACCGTCCTTGGTGCACGAGAGGCAACCTTTTAAAGCATTACAAACACTATACATCACGCTCGCAGGGGAGTGGAGAACAGCTGTGGCCGTGATCCAAAATATCAGATGAAATGTACGCAATAGCAAGGTACCCAGTCAAAACAAATTAAGTTTGTCATATTTGTGACTTGCCGCCTACCTAAAAGAAGATGGAAGAAACCTAGGAGTAGGGTTCCGTATTTTCTCATAAATCCGATAAAATCACAGAAAAAAACTCGCTGGTAAAACAGTTGGTGATTCGGATTTATCCAGAAAACTCAAAATTTTGAGACTGCCAGTTCTATGAACTCCAATGGCTTTTATATTTTCCGGATAACTTCGGCGTTTCTTTTTTTTTTTTCTTTTTTATTTTTAACTTTTGTACGCAAGCTCCACAGCAAAAACTTTTTGGCCCCTTGTCAACAAAACATGTCATCAAATCTCTACGACAATAATCGATTGTGGTGACATGTATAAAAAAAGACTGGACTAAATTCGCAAACTGCTGTTTTCTGCCTCTTATTCGCTGCATAAAAAAGACGAAAAAACTGAATTTTTATGTACCATAAGAGAAAGCTCCAAAAAACTGAATTTGTTTAAGATATAAACTCTGGAAAACAGCCTCTGAACTTGCTCAGAAATAAAACTCCAAAAATGCAGCACCCTACCTATGAGTAACTTCGAAGGGAGTGTAAGCTACTTGCAAAAAGTGTTGAAGTTTGAGTACTAAATAATGACTTTTTAACTGTAAGACACCAAGTTACTCTTAAAACCACGAAAGGGACTGATTGTGGTTCTTGTTTTCTTATGAGCCAAACGCAGAAGCTGAAACCAAGCCAATTTTTCCCTAAACTTTGAGTATGCGTGGGTGTACATTGTTTCCCAAAGCTATCCAACTGAGAAAGGGCATTTTACGTGATAAAATTCCACTCTAAAGACGTCAGCGCTCAAGGCTAAACTGACAAGCAATCATCCACATTTATGTTGGTTTCACTTGAGGTGAATTTGGCTCATATAGAAAAAAAAAATCTCAATTTGATTGAGTAGTAGTGAAGTTCCATAAAATAGTGGAAAAAAAGCTAGCCAGAGGATTTTACAAAAACAAGGTTATCCTGAAATGTTCAACAAAGCAAATTTTGTCAGTCAAGTTCAATGCTACGCACCATGCTTAGCTACTTGGCACTGACCATTGGCATACGGAAGTGGCTTAGGAAGCAACAAACCTGAAACACCTGCTCAGCAATGTCCATCATTGTGATAGGAAATGGTCGATCGAGAATGTGAAATTGCTTCACCCTCCCGATCACGCGCTCCACGACCACCCGGGCGCTTGCCACCTGCCGGGTATTTGCTACGTCTTGCTCAGGCATCTGAGGCTCGTGTGGCTGCCGGAAAGGCGGAATGTGCACTTGCACTCCAGGTGGCAGGTCATTAAATTTAAAACCCTTGTCCACCATGATGGCGTCCCCTGCCTCCAACTGCCCCATGAGCTCACTATCCTCGACGATCGTCCGGTCTGAGGCACACCCACCCCAGAGCCCCGAGACGTAGCAAATGTACCCGTTGGGCGTACAGCCAACAATAGCCTTGTACGTGTTGTAATGCTTGTACGGTGAAAAGGTCTGCCTCTGAGCAAGCAAAGCCGATGGCTTCTGAGTACGCACCTCAGTTGCATCAAGAACGATTCTCGTGTTGGGAAATTTGTGAAAAGAATCGGGGAGTTTTTTCCGAGTCTCCAGAACAGTTGGAAAATAGATCAGTGCCCTTAACTCTCGCTGAAGAAAGTTAATCCATGTCGTAAACACCTTACTAACATGCGCTTCAGTGATGTTGAAATTGCGGGAAAGTTCCCTGCCTGCCATCCCTGTCCTCAGCCGCACGAGGACCATGAAAAACTCATCCCTCAGGTCTAGTTTCCCTGTGCGGCGCTTCATCTCACCGTCTGTCTTGGTGTCTCCGTGCCAGTAGGTCATTCTGGCTGCCCGAGGTTCAAGAAACTTATATAGTTCGTCGAAGACAGAAAACTCGGGAAGCCCAGTGTAATACATGCAGCTTTTAGGATCCTCTAGGATGGTCTCAACTCTCAGCTGTGTCGCCTGCAGTGCTTCAACAGTCTCTTGGAGGCGCTTATTCTCAGACTGAAGATGCAGCATCATCTGCTGCATTTTCGCCAGTTTCAGGTCTCGAAGCCTGAGTGCCTCGGAACTGACACCCGCTGTGGTCAGGGCCATCGCAGCGTCCTGCTCCATTTCTGTGAAGCAATTGCACATATATAAGTGAAGATCATGAAAGCCGATGTTGCCCAGTTACTCCTTGCAGATACAGCAACAGATAGATACTTTGGAACCGTGTTACATGTAAAAAAAGAACTAGCCAACAAAGAACCAATAAAAAATTGCAGTGGCTTAGCTCGGCTATGCCAGGATCTATGTAGCGTAAGCTTAAATTCAGCTGGTTATTCTTAAGGCCCGTTCACACAGTTGCGTTCGGAGCGACCACTACGCTTACGAACGAATGCAACCGGTTAGAACGACGAGTTACCATAGCAACGAAGCGCCAAACGGTCGTTTTGTTCGTGTTCATTTGCAACGCAAGGAGTTGAGCCGGGCTGAACTTTTTCGTTACGTTGGGAAACGACGGGAGCGACAGACCAATCACAGATCGAGGAAAACTCGGTCGCGCGCGTTGCATGGACGGCGTGGTGAACGCTCATAGTGCCCCGTAAAAGCGCTATCATTGACTGTGAATTTTCGTCGTGTGCCGTTATGATAACCCAGCACAAGGGAAGATCCACCTACTCATGCGGCGATCTTGTGGCGGCACTCTCAAGACAGCAGAAACGCCCGTGTCGTTGTGTTTGTTTACTTCGACTACAGTGGTGCTTTCTTAGCATTCGTGTCCTCGAACATCGCCCGGATTTCTTTTTGGCGCATTCCATGCGTGTGCTCAAGTTCAAGGTATTACTGGTGCGTACCGTATAAAGGATGTGAGTTTTCACGTGTTTTCATCACCCGAGAAAGGTGATTAGTGTTAACAATCCTGAACGCTCGCAACGTCTATCTGACCACGAAATTATATTTCTGCGTTGCTATATCGCTGCTAAAATTTCATTGTCTTTTATGATCGTAGAAAAGCTGTGTGGCGAGATTTGTATTGTTGGCAAAGTCGTGTATTAAAGTCGTGATGTGCAAAACGGCGTACTGCATTTTTTTTTTTTAATGCGCTACCCTGCAAGCGTATCCTGAAAAAAAAATAAAGTTTAGGTAATAGAAGACGGTATGTCTATTTTCTGTTACGCAAGTGAGTGGCAGAGCGTCCCCTTCTTTTTAGAGGCACCGCTGAAACAGCTGACGGCGGCAGAGAGGCGGTCGCCATGCTGCCGACCCGCTGCGCTTGTGGCAGTGGTTGCAGGAGTGTACGCGCGGCGCAGAACGGTCGCTCTGGTCACATTGGACGCAGTCGTGGATAACGGGTTCGTTGCAGATGTCTGAACCAGCCTTTACACAGCTATTGTAGCCGCACAGCAGATCTTCGTGACTGTTCGCCACATAATCGAAACCTCCGGCTGCTCCGGTGAGGAGTCTGAGGACCTCGCGTCGGGCACGAAACCGTCCGCCATGTTTTAAGCGTAGCTGGGTTGCTTACTATTGGCTAGGAGCAAGAGCTGAAGCTCGTTTCTCATTGGCTATTGCTTCGTATGGTTGCATTCGGTTGCATCTGTGTGTACACGTCACGCACAGTTGTCGTTGAAGTCACAGCGGTTGCATTCGTTTGTAAGCACAGTGGTCGCTCCAAACGCAAGTGTGTAAATGGGCCTTTAGCTTTTCTGGTTGTCTAGGATTAGCTTATGATGCTTACTACTACTTCAATGACACACACACGGTATATGCATTATGTGACTGCTTCAGGATACGATGATGTGCACCGTGTTATGTGTCAAGCAACCAAGCTGCCGCCCAGAACAACCGGACAGCGCGAGCCATGATCTCGAGTGGGTGGATGCGCGTGGCGCGTGCATCGGGGACTGACATGTGTGACGTCACTGCTCCTTGTGCATGCGCAGCACGGCTCTCCAGGAGCCACGCGAAACTGCTCAACCTCAGCCAGTGTAGCTTACGCTACAAAAACATTTGTGTAAGGCACGTCAGAATATTAGGCACAGGAGAAAATCGGCCCTCGTTAAGTCCTTACTTTGAACCCTTTTTCTTCACTTTAAGCGCATAGAAATTAATTGCGAAAATACCTAAGCATGCACCGATATCACTACCGCCATGTCGTTCCCAAAAAAGCCCTTTGTTTGAAGCCAGCAAAATCGGACGCCATTTCCCCGGGCGTCATCTGCTAAAATCAATGCTTGCCGAAGAAAGACGGTTAAGGGACACAGCAGCTCTGGGTAGTCGGAGCAAGTGAGGCTCACAAACAGGCCGCGCTATGCACCACCACCCCCTGCTTCCCTCAAGGAATTGTAATCTAATCTGAGGCTCGAGCTTGTGTCCAGCTTCGTCGAAACCGTCAAAGGTTTAGAGCCAAGCCAGGCACGTGGCCAGGGGGGAGGCCCCCCATCCCCCAAAATCTACTGTTTTGCTGGGACCTCCTCTCCCCCCTCCCCCTCATACAGCATTTTATCATGGGCGGGCCCCTCCAAAACAAAATTTTGGCTATGTGCCTGAGCCAAGCTACTGTATAAAAAAAAAAAGTCAAATTTGGGGGTTTTACGTGCCAAACCTACGACGGGCATCTGGCACGCCCCAGCGGAGGACTGAGGATTAATTTCGACCACCTGGGGATCTTTAGACGTGCAACCGAAAGCTCGGTTACACGGCTCCTTCTCCGCAATAAGCCTCCGTCATATTGCGGGCACCTCGGTCAGGATTCGAACCCGCCACCTGGGGACCCGTAGGCCGGCGCTCTCGCCTCGGAGCCACCGAGGCGGCTAGCTACTGTATCAAGGAAAGACTGAAACAGGGCCTTAAGTGTGTAATAGAATTCTCTATGAAAACTTATGATTGCTGTCGGTCGTTCTACACCCATCGGCATCATCTGTCATGGTGTATGCCTAAACTCTTACGGTGCAATATTCCTACATACATAACAAAACTGCCCCCTTGCTTACATGAAGGGCACAAATGATTACACTGAGTCGCACATGCCACATTCCTACTTACACATAGGTTGCTGAACCCGTTTACATAGAGAGTATGCTGTAATAAAAGGCCAAGTACAGACAATTCACACCTTCGGGGGGTTGCTCTGAACATGAGGGCTCGCTAAACATCTCATCAGGTCCCCTGGAGGGCAGACTGGGGCGCACACTTTTGCCTGCCGTCATGATGGAGTCAGCGGGAGGCGAGGGCTGGCCCGCCAGCTGCGAGGCTCCCAGCTGCGGGCTGGTGGGGACTGCAGCGTCCGTCGGAGCTGGATTGTTGTTCAAATATAACATCTATCTTGGTGACAAAACAAACAAGGCATGCATACGATTACGGCAAATCAGCTGCATCAGATAATTCACACCTTGGGGGGGTTGCTGCGAGCATCCTCCTTGTGCGAGCAAGGCAGCCGCCGCTGTTGAGGGCTGGCCTGCCAGCTCTGAGGATCCCGGCTGCGGGCTGGTGGGGACTGCAGTGTCCGTCGGAGCTGGTTTGTTCAAAGATAACATCTGCCTTAGTGACAAAACAAACAAGGCATGCATACGATTACAGCAAATCAGCTGCATCAGATAATTCACACCTTGGGGGGGTTGCTGCGAGCATCCTCCTTGTGCGAGCAAGGCAGCCGCCGCTGTTGAGGGCTGGCCTGCCAGCTCTGAGGATCCCGGCTGCGGGCTGGTGGGGACTGCAGTGTCCGTCGGAGCTGGTTTGTTCAAAGATAACATCTGCCTTAGTGACAAAACAAACAAGGCATGCATACGATTACAGCAAATCAGCTGCATCAGATAATTCACACCTTGGGGGGGTTGCTGCGAGCATCCTCCTTGTGCGAGCAAGGCAGCCGCCGCTGTTGAGGGCTGGCCTGCCAGCTCTGAGGATCCCGGCTGCGGGCTGGTGGGGACTGCAGTGTCCGTCGGAGCTGGTTTGTTCAAAGATAACATCTGCCTTAGTGACAAAACAAACAAGGCATGCATACGATTACAGCAAATCAGCTGCATCAGATAATTCACACCTTGGGGGGGTTGCTGCGAGCATCCTCCTTGTGCGAGCAAGGCAGCCGCCGCTGTTGAGGGCTGGCCTGCCAGCTCTGAGGATCCCGGCTGCGGGCTGGTGGGGACTGCAGTGTCCGTCGGAGCTGGTTTGTTCAAAGATAACATCTGCCTTAGTGACAAAACAAACAAGGCATGCATACGATTACAGCAAATCAGCTGCATCAGATAATTTACACCTTGGGGGGGTTGCTGCGAGCATCCTCCTTGTGCGAGCAAGGCAGCCGCCGCTGTTGAGGGCTGGCCTGCCAGCTCTGAGGATCCCGGCTGCGGGCTGGTGGGGACTGCAGTGTCCGTCGGAGCTGGTTTGTTCAAAGATAACATCTGCCTTAGTGACAAAACAAACAAGGCATGCATACGATTACAGCAAATCAGCTGCATCAGATAATTCACACCTTGGGGGGGTTGCTGCGAGCATCCTCCTTGTGCGAGCAAGGCAGCCGCCGCTGTTGAGGGCTGGCCTGCCAGCTCTGAGGATCCCGGCTGCGGGCTGGTGGGGACTGCAGTGTCCGTCGGAGCTGGTTTGTTCAAAGATAACATCTGCCTTAGTGACAAAACAAACAAGGCATGCATACGATTACAGCAAATCAGCTGCATCAGATAATTTACACCTTGGGGGGGTTGCTGCGAGCATCCTCCTTGTGCGAGCAAGGCAGCCGCCGCTGTTGAGGGCTGGCCTGCCAGCTCTGAGGATCCCGGCTGCGGGCTGGTGGGGACTGCAGTGTCCGTCGGAGCTGGTTTGTTCAAAGATAAC